GAGAGGTTTTAAACAGCAGTTTATGCAATTCTGTGTATGCCACGTGGGGAAGTTATTTCTGGGGCTTGTCCCAGGTTCACAGGCGCTTGTTCCCCACCCAGGCTCCAGGGAGGAGTCCTGGGCCACCCGGCAACCACGTTTATTATCACTCAAGTCTTCATCCAAATGCTACTTCCGCAGAGACCTTCCAAAACCCACCTAAAACACCCACCCTCAACAACTCACTGTGTTTTGTTTCATTCATAGAGCTCATCCTGTTAGCAGTTATGTCATTGTCTTGCCTACAGCTCTTCTCTTTCCAGTGAGGGACTTTGTCTTGTTTCCTGCTGTGTCTCCAGCACCGAGAATCTGACCTGAGGTTTGCACTCAATAAAACAGCCACAGAACAAACAGAAAAGCCTCACGGGACCCCGCCTGCCTGGCCACAGCTAAAGGGACCAGAGCCCTGAGCAAAGCAAGGCCAATCGGAACACTTCTCTCTGGAATTTGAAACTGTTGTGGTAACGTGAACGTGAAAGCTGCAGGGTGGTCACGTTCCAGCTTCTGGGCCAGAGCAAGAAAAATCAGCATGAGGGAGAGAAGAGGGGAAGACAGGTGCGAGGCGCAGTGGGGAGCCTGGGCCCACAGGCTTGCTGGACCTGCTGTGCTCAGCCTTGGTCCCCACGACCTTCTCATCAAGTTCCGTGTTTCAGGTCAGGCCAGCTGGAGTTGGTGCCTGTCACCTACAACCTCAGGAATACACCTGTGGTCACAGTCATCCTTTAAAAACTCAAAGCAGAAAGATTTGGAGAAAATACTCCAGAATGGTTGCCTCCGAGTGGTGGGACCACCTAGTTTTCTATATTTTCTAAAATGACTATTTGTTACTCTTATGATTACAAAAATACACACACACACACACACACATATTTTTAATTTTTTCCTGGAGAAGCATAGAGTGACGGACCTGGAGGACTGCAGGCGACGCCACTCTGTTCATCCATTTCATCCAGCTGCGAGGCTGAGCAGTGAGGTGACTCACCGAGTCCCTCAGGCTCACTTACAGGCTGTGCCTCACGCTTTCTTACACCCAGGCCAGGATTCCCCCAACCAGGGAGTCTCTGGACAGTTACTATGTTCTCACCTCAAAACGCTGCATTGCAGTTATGTTTTCAATAATAAATTCTCTCACTCAAGGTGAAACAAGCTTTCTTCTGGATTACCTCTAGTGAGTTGGGCGAGACTGTCTGTGCTGCTGAGCTGAGGAAGTTTCTGGGGCAGCGTCCTGACTAACAGGGCTCCCGAGTGCATGCGGAGGGAGTGAGGAGGACAAAAGTTCTGTCAGTTCTTTCTTAGATGCAGAGCAAAGCTGGCTTCATGAGGGGAGAAAACGGAAGGTCAGGAGACCCATTTGGATCATACACGCTACTACCCCTTGGTTTATGTTACAAGAAGTTCTAATTTAAAAAAAAAAATTGAAGAATAGTTGATTTACAATCTTGTGTTGTGAAGGAAAAGCCGGGCTGGTCTAACAAGATAATTCACAAGTCTAGGAATGTGAAGGAGAGGTTGGGCTGATCTAACAAGATAACTCACAAATCTAAGTACTGGCATACTGATCTGAGTTCTGCTAGACTAACTTGTAAATCTAGGTTAATTAGTGTTGGTTTGCTGTTCATGTTTTTTTGCTAGCCAGCTGGATTTTCAAAGATATATATCTGGCTTTGGAATGTTGGTTTGCTGCCTCCCCGCCTCCATTTTTGTGATAAAGATGCTGCTAAAGCGGTTCCATGCCTATTGGCCGAATACCCCAAGCTTGTACTTTACCCTACAAAACCTCATGCGCACGTCGTGGAGGTGCTCAGAGCTTCGGAGCAGAAGCCCCTCTGAGCCCGCCGGCGTAATACATCTGAGCACTCCAACCCTCCGAGTGGCGCGTGCTTCTTGGCTGGCCTGTTGTTTCCGTAACTGTGTTAGTTTCAGGTGTACAGCAAAGTGATTCAGTTATATATATACATACATATATTCTTTTTCGGATTCTTTTCCATTACAGGTTATTATAAGATACTGAATATAGTTTCCTGTGCTACGGGGTAGGTCCTTGTGATTTCCCTGTTTTATAGTAGTTTGCATATGCTGATCCCAAACTCCTAGTCTACCCTTCCCCGCTCCTTCCTCTTTGGCAACTGTGACTTTGCTTTCTATGTCTGTGAGTCTACTACTGGTTTAACTTCATTTGTATCTTGCTTTTTCTTTTTTAAGATTCCACATGTAAGTGATAACATATGAGATCTGTCTTTCTCAAGAAGTTCTAACTCATTGCACAGTGATGGTATAACAGATATATAAGCGACAAAGCAGTGGCTACATAAATCCTGGTTTGCCTGTTTATTACTTTTGTTTGAAATTTCACTGCTCTTTTCTGGCTAGTTGGTGGCCAAAAGCGTGACTGCCATTAGGCAGGAAGGGTGTCAGCTATGGTTTCAGCATAAGCATAGCTGGGCGACATGAAGGCCAAAGGGAGGAGCTTGTGGAGGGCGGTCTATTTCTGGGCTGGACCACAGCGAGGCCTATTACTAAAAAAAAAAAAAAAAAACCTCGCTGAACTACTGCTTTGTCTGACTTGCATCTTGAAGGGCATTCACCACTCCACCTAGTTTAAGAAAACTCCTGAAATGACTCAGGAGCACCCCCTGGAGAGCTGAGCAGCCCTGCCTTGGGCTCAATAACCAGCGAGAGAGGAAGGGGTCCTAACACTCCAAAGGGCATCACAGGAACAAGACACAAGCCGCCACTTCAAATCAGGGGGTGATTAAGCTGGTGCGAGGAGCCCAGACAGGAGCCCAGAGGCCAGAGAACACACAGGGACTGAGGCGCTCTGGTTCTCCACTGCCGGCCAGCTCCCCAGCTTCTCCTCCTGGCCCCTCTGTAGCCCGAGCTGCTGGCAAGTCCCACTGGGTAACTGCAAACCACCCGCACCTCCCTGGGCCCCAGGCCAGCGCTCAGCCTGCGCTGTCTCTGCACCAGGTAGGGGAGAAAGCCTGTTTGTTCATTCTCTGCAGACAGGTGGGTAGAGGACAGCCCCGGGAGGGGCCCGCAGGCCCTTGGGGAGTCCTGAGGCCTGGAGCCTACGCCGCCCTGGAGTTGGGCTGCAGTGGTGTTAGATATTTGCAAAGTGGAACGTAAATGTTACCTCACTACGAACCCAGCTGCCGGCACCCCCAAAATGCTGGGGCAGCTGAAGAGATGAGCCAAACAGGACAGGAAACTCCCTTTCCCACTGACTCAGGTATTTCTAAGGAGGATTCCAGGAATCAGCTTTCTCTGAGAACTAGCTTAGCCCTGTGTCTGCAGGCCACCCATTTGTGAGTGTGTAGGATTTAGGTTGGAATAAAACGGGAGCGACATAAAAGAGATTTTTCTACTTCTGAAAGTGGTTAAACTCTGAATTCCTTAGGGATTTTCTCACCCTTGCAAATCTGGAAAGTGTAAGAAATTCTCTTCTCTGGATAATTTGCCTGTGGGTTCCAGTCTACACAAAGGGTGGAAATCACCAATCCTGGAAAGGCCTTTGCTACCTGAATTCTTAAGACCCTGCTCTTATGTAATGTACTGCTTATTTGCTTGTTTTTACAGATCTAGGTCTTTGTTTTCCGTGGCAGCCCGAGGTGACATAAAGCTCAGCAAATAAAATTCATCTTGCACACCGAGTCCTATTAAGTGGGCGGAGCTGCCTGGTGGGCTGTGCTAACAACGTCCCGAGGCCAAGTCTGGTTCCGGCAGGAAAGCGCTGTGGTGGCTTAGCGGTGTCTGCCGTGGGCATGGCTGGGGGGCTGACAGCTCTCATGTCACAGTGACATCCCTGAGTTAAATCATGGGGCACCTTTCAGATTCTACACAGGGCTAGGTTCTTAGGAGTCTGGATAATGGACCTTTAACAGGCTTAGAAGAGAAGAATTCATTACCAAGGGTTTTCCCCGAGGAGTCGATCACATAGCTGCCTGAGAGACAAGTCTGTTTTTGACTGACTGATGTCTCCTTTGAGCTTCCTGTGAAAAGCAGACAGTAGATACCCACTCTAATCTGCTTTGGGTCCTCAGGATTTAGTTCTTGGAGTACTTCCCAGCCTCCCAGGGGTCTCCTGGCCTCACCTTCTTGGGATCCGTTCCGCACAAGGCTGATGGAGAGCACCTTCTGAAGCCCCAGCCGTGTCTGTCCCCTCAGAGTCCCCCTCATCCTCAGGAATAAGTATTTGCTTATAGTTATGAACAATAGGTTCATCTTGATCTGCTCTCATAGGTTTGTCTCTTTCCCCTCCTAAGCCCGAGGCTTTAGCAGGCGAGAACCGCATCTCACCGTCTGCAGCCAAGCCACTAGGGCAATGGGCGGCCCGTCGGAGGTACCTGATACACATTCATGAAATGAGCGAATGAATGGGGATTGCGTAGTCTCCCCAAATTCATGAAACTAATGGCGGTGACTCAGCATGAATTATCACTCATGAGCATTTAGCGGACACCACTCGTCTCCTCAATGTTTCACCGAAGCTGCCCCCCGGCCTCATATGCTGCTTCTCCCAATAACACTAGTCATTGCAAGAAACTGAGGCAAAGCAGCCAAGCGCCAGTTACGAACCACGTAAAAATCTAGAAATGCAAAATTGTTGAATTTGACATGTAGATGAGACCTTTCGGCTCCACCTGTTCAGCTGAGGTCACAGGGCGGGACTTCTGCCCACCCATCCCCTCACCCCTTTCTTGGAAAAGGAGTTGCTTTCAGCAGCTCTAACGGCATTTGTAAAAATTGTACAACCAGCTTTTCATGGTCCACGTGATGATGGATATTTAATTTTGATTGACACAAAAGTGATGAGAGGAAGGGACTCAAGTTTTGGCCCAAATTGTGCAGCTGCACGGAGTTCTAATTCCAAGATCCCATAACTCCAAATTCTCCATTTTATTCTCTTTTCTTAAAAAAGAAGAGGGGGGCTGGCTCATGTCAGGGGGAGTGGGGTGCCTCACCTTATGCAGCTGTGTTCTCGTCTCATAGTAGGCGACCACGGGGATGGAGGCTCGGTAGTAGGTTTCAAGGCGCTTGGCGATGGTGGCGGTGCTGTCGTCGGCACGCGCACTGCCCCGGCTCTTCTGGAGAAGGCGGTTGGTCATGGTGTCTGCCGAGCAGTCCATGCAGATCACCAAGTGCGGGTCTCCAATCTGGGGGTTGGGGGAGCACAGCACGGTCAGGAAGTCCACTCTGCCAGGTTCTGGAAAGACCTGGGGGCCCTAGTTCTTTCCTGGGCTTCTGCTTCCTCTCAAGGTCCCAGGCCAACACTGCAGCAGAGTTGGGACTAGACTTCATGGCTCCTCATTTCCAGGCCATTATTTAATTCCAGGGATTACACAGAATGCTACCCAGGGCAGTCACACTCTGTCCTCCACACTAAGGGGAGGGATGTGTGTGCGTGTGTGTGCACGTACGTGTGTGGTGTTTCCTGCGGGAACCCTTTCCTGACCTGCTAAGGCAAGGTGACCACGTTCTTCTTTGTTCCACCACTGGATGTGGCACCAGCCCCAGTGGTATGGTGTGACTGTGCCTGCATTACCTGAGGCTCAGTGGAGCATAATGATTGGGCACACAGAGGTTGGAGTCAGGCTGCTTAAGGTCAAATCCTGGTGTGGTGACTTGTCTCCACGATGGTCTTCATTAATTCCCTCCCTTGATGTAATTTAAGCTCTTCCTCCACTGATACGTAAGCCTATTCCTTCATCTCCTTGAATCTGAGCTGAATTGTAATGGTTGCCATCAATAGAATTTGGTGGAAATGATGCCACATGCTTTTAGAAGCAAGATCATAAGATTTGCAGTTCCTGCCTGGTCAACTGCATCTAGGATGCCCAGCTACCATGCCTACAGAGCCGTGAGGAAGCCCAAGTTAGCCACATGGAGAGGCTACATGGGCAGAGATCCCCAACCAGCCTTGGGCTGTTTTAGACATCCCAGTGCCTGCTCCGGATGTGTGTACTCAGCCCTAGCCACTGTCTGACTGCAACTGAATAAAGGACCTTAAGTGAGAGCCAAGCTCATCAACCACCCCCACTTAAAACCCTACCAGAGAAAATAAAAAATTACTACTTTAAGTTATCTGACTTCCTCATTAAGTAAAAATGTCACTTAATTTCTCTGCACCACAACTTTCCCATTTGTACAGTGAGGATGATCACAGAATTGCTGTGAGGATTAAGTATGATTAAAGAAGGTAATGTAAGTAGATTGCTTGGCATACAGCAGACACTCAGGCGTATTAGCTATTATGCTCATTTCCCATATTGGCTTACAATCAATCCCTGGATCAAAAGAAACTGTTGCTCCCTCCTGATTTCGCAATGTAAACGAGGGCTTTCTGCTCTGCTGTAGTAAGGTCCTGGGAGGGACAGGAACAAAGTCAGGGTAGGGGAGGACTTTAAGACGACACAGTCATAAGTTGTTAGTAAGCGTTATTCAAACATTTATCTGTCTACCTCGTCTGAAGGATGTACTTTAAGGAACAGAATGGGGGATTCTCCAAAATCTAGAAAAGTGAAATAAACCTCTAGAACATGTCACATAACTTTTCTGCCTTTATTAATTGGAAGAAAAAAAAAAGCATTTGAACAGTAGAAAAGCTGGGTGAACGTTTAGAAGACAATGGCCCCTGTCCACCAGCAGAGGGCGAGCTTGGGAGGCAGCCCGGGGTTCGGTTACAGAGTTTGGCTCCCGAAGCAGTTTCTGGTTGGGTTTGTGCGAGACTAAGCGATTTTTCTTATTGTGGGGTTTTTCAGGCCACTCGTGGGGACATGAAAGATAATTCTGGGACTCATTTGGGTACAGAGATAATGAGTGTCTGAGCAGGAGCTGGCAGTAAATGGACCCAAAATAAGTGCAAGACCTGGAGGTAGCTTTGTCTTCCACATCGATTCTCAAAGTGTGGGCCGTGGACCCGCAGCACAGGCGTGATCTGGGAGCTCGTTCGAAATGCAGAGGCTCAGGCACCATCCCTGACCTATTGAGTCTGCATTTTAAGAGGTGACTCTTCACAAAATAACAGCTTGAGAAGCTGCTCTACCAGACCAGTTCCTCGGGCCAAGGCTGGGCTCTTACCTAACCCGCCTCTCCTGTAGTCAGCATACCCTTCCCACCTAAAAAGGTACTGTGCAGTCATTCCTTTTGGAAGTGGCCTGGACCACTGATGTCTTTAATACCTAAACGTCCGTGAACTGTTTGAATGAAATAGCATTGCATTGTTTTTCAAAACGCTTTGCTCTGCACCTTTAGACAGTCCCTTGGGGGTAGCTCAGCCTCTTTTTGGCTGGTGAGCCTCTAACATCCTGTGGGCGGGAGAGCAGAGGACTCTGTCCTTGTCGGAATGAATCACAGAGACTTGGGGACAACTCCATGTCCCTAACACCCCCCTGCTGGCTCCTGGGAACTCCGCCACAGCAGCACTGGGCTCCTCATGGCCTTTGGGAAGTCAGGGGAAGCTATCAGCGCACAAGTGCCTCGGGAGGGCGTTGAGATCCCATAAGGACATTTGAGCAGCCTACGCACCGGGCCACCCCTCGGACCCCTCCAGCCCCTCTGTGGGGAGGAAACGGAGGCCCACGGAGGTTAACTTGCCCGAGGTCACTGAGGACTAGTGAGTGACAGTCCTGGGCTAGCTGCATGGAACTCCAAAGCCTGGTGACCTCACCCTAGTGGAGGGCACCAGAGCCTACAGAACGGGACTCGGGCCGGACGCCTGGTGGGCCACATGGAGCCGGGAGAGGGGGGTGGGGTGGCAGGAAAAGAAGCGGATGGTGTCAGAGGCCACCTCATTTTACTCTGTGGGGTTCTGGCTGGGGTCGGCAGTCACCTGGGCTGAGAGCAGCCCACCAGGGTGAGGCTGTCAGCGTTAGCTGACTTGTGGTGATGACTTTGCCTGGATAATTCCAGCGTGTGGAGCAGGAGGAGGCGGTTACCTGGGCCTCCTCGGCCCCAACTTTAGTTTTCTTCTGATCAGGTCAGGACACAGGTTAAGACCATATTACTAGTGGGCAGGGGCCTGCCATCCAGGAACTCTCTATGGTTCAGAATACCAGCTTTCTTGTTCTCACTGGGGCCTCCGTCTCCTCATTTTAAGTGAGGATTACAATAGTTTTTACCTTATAGGATGGTTAAATCAGTTAACATATGGCCCATTTCAAGCACTAAATAAGTGTGAGCTAATGTGGGCCTGGCAGTATTTTCATCCCTTTAAACTTTGTAAAAGCCCCAGTTGGTCAGATTCGGGTTTAGAAAGAGTCGGAGGCCCAGTCTACACTTTTAGCCTAAGTCACACGCTCCGGCACTGACCTGCCTCACCGTGCTGGGAGGTGACACTGGCTAATATTTCCTATTTTGCTCTCACCTATTTGCCTATTTCCCATTTGCTCTCACCCCTGAGGTATGTCCCCTTGGGGAGCCTCACTGGGCGGGGGTGACGGGGTCATCCAGCATTCCTGAACACACAAGCCCCAGGACAGGACCACCACCACACTGCCACTACAACACCTGCCCCAAAGTGGCCATCACACAGCTCAAAGTTCTGCAGTGAACCAGCAGTCAGAAGAGGAGGGCCGGAAATCTCAGGTGGAAAAATCCCATGGTGGTCCCCAGACAACCAGAAACACCCACTAGAAAGTCCCGTGGCTAGACTAGACCTTCTTCTTGGCTAAGAGCTCACTGTGAAGATGGCAGTACATCTGTAGACAGACTCACAGATTATGGAGCTCAGGAGGGTTAGGAGATGGTTAAAGGCCGTCAGGATACACTGTCATATTCATACAACCAGGAAAACCATCTGCATAATCAGGCCCAGGGCAGAATTTCAGCTAAGAGGCTCCTGCGAGGGAAAGGCGAGCGCAAACCCACGCGCTTTGCTTCTGTTAACGTGTGTTTAGGTTGGCTGCTGTGGAGTAAACGCTGGGTTCCCACAGGAGAGCGTTTCAGTTTCACACTTGGGAGTCAGGCCAAGCACACGCCCTCCTTGGGGGGATGATCATCTGTAAAGTGGGGATAATAACACCGTCTGCACAGGACTGTGAAGATTAATAAAACGACACAGGTGAGCACCAAGTGCAGTTCCTGCACGTTTTAAGTGCTCAGAAAATAACAGCTATTATTCAGTTGGTTCTGTACTCTGTGCGATTTTTAACTGCATAAGGACAGGTAGAACAGAGGCTGGGAGCCCAGACATCAAAGTGTTCTCTCTGGTTAGTTACCTTCGTTTTATACTTTCTTGTATTGTCACATGTCTATGTAATTTCGGTTTCTATAGTCAGAAAAAATCTACTTAATTTTGAAAAAAACTGTAACAATTGATTGAACACCATACCAGGCTTATATATATATTGAGACACTTTTGAAGGATTTCACCCATTCTTTCCCCCAAAACATTGAGGTAGCTACTTTCTTTCTTTTTAAATGGAAATACAGTTGACGCACAACACTATGTCAGCTTCAGGTGTACTACACAGGGATTTGATGTCCACATACATTATGAAATGATCACCACAGCGGTCGGGTCACCATCTGTCCCCATACAAGGTTATTACACTATTACTGACCGTGCTCCCTGTGCCGCACCGTACATCCCCGTGCCTTATTTATTGTGTAACTGAGGGCTGGTACCTCTTCATCTCCTTCATCTATTTCGCCTACCTCCACCCACTCCCTTCTGCCAACCACCTACCTGTTTGTTCTCTGTATCTATGAGTCTGTGTTTTGTTTTTTGGGGTTTGTTTTAGATTCCACATAGAAGTAGATCATGCTGAATTTGTCTTTTTCTGTCTCACTTATTTCACTTGGCATAATACCTTCTGGATCGACCTATGTTGCAAATGGAAAGATATATTTTTTTAACCACTGGAGGCAACTTTTAAATCTGTATTTTACAGAAGAGGAAATTGAATTTAAAAAGTATAGTTAAGTGACTTGTCATGGACTTATTCTTTTTTGAAATCAAATATGATTTACTTTAGTCAACATTTTGAATCTTACTGTAATTGTTTTTTGTTTCTGTTTCCTCCTCTTTCTTTTATATTGAAGTATAGTCAGTTTACAATTTTGTGTTAATTTGTGGTGTACAGCATAGTGCTTCAATAATACATATATATATTCCTTTTCATATTTTTTGTTATAAGATATTACAAGGTATTGA